TTTTTCAGAAACTTCGGATTTATTTTGGACGACGCAGGTAATGAACCTGGTAAGCATTTCGGCTACATTTCGTTATGAGTAGTTAAATCTGGGCTATCGCCATAACGACGAATGGTAGAAGAGTAGGGTCGTACGTTGGACTCAACACGAGTAGGTGGACTCGGCGGGTACGCTGCGTTCTGGGTTTTCATTAGTAAGGTTTTGGCAGATCTGTTAAATAGGGGAGGCACGACTTCAACCTCCTCTTTGGGCACACGAACTTGCGTTCACTGTCCTGATGAGTTCTACTCGGTGGGCAGATGAAACCGGTCGAAGGACATCACCGGTGCTCGTTTTTGTTGCTGGCTATGAATATCCTTGGATCTGAGCATGAGTTTTTAAACTTCGATCTGTTGTTTGCTTCTCTTCCAGGGTGTGTCTTTTGCGGCTGCTCGGACTGTGTTGTCGCGGTCTGCCTTGCTCTCATGCACATAGTAACCGGTAGCTTAGAGGCTGGTCGGTGGCTATGTCTACGGCGTGTGACCTCGACWAGGCTACTAGTCGATCGTGGGCTYGAAGTTTCTGTTTTGGGGTTTGATGTTGAAGTGATTACGTAYTGTTTYYTCTTCGAGGATGAACTGTGCAATGTGAGTTTCTTCGCTTTAGCTTCTTGATATGCGGATAGTTCGRCTGGTATCGGTAAGTGGGTCTGGTGCTTATATCGGGTGTCACGGGGGTGAGTAGTATAGTTYGYGGTCGTACGGGTAGACGGGAATGGYCGTATAAACTCGGTGTTGGCAKCACGGTGCCAACCGGGAAGTAGGGAGGAGGAACCCTTCTACTCCGTGTGAGTTAGCGTGYCGGGCTCGGGGTACGAGGTCCGTATGGAGGGATCTGACATACACGGCAGGTATAGGGCGGAGGGGAGATAAGCGGGACTGCGGCTAGACCACTACGTTCGAGCAAGATCCGTCCGGCATGCTTCGAGGCGACTCCTAGTACCGGCTTGGCGAAGCGCGGCGTAGCGGAGCCATCCGGTCGAAGGTGCACCGGGGAATATACTCGGAGGTTTTCGTATCACGTATTGACATACTGGAAGATCTTCTTGTTTGCCATTAATTCTTGTCTAACCTTCGAGGGTTGAGACGTGTTCGGGATGTGATAGGCGCGTTGTTTCTTGGAGGAGGCTTCATTAGCCTCGGGATCGGGCTGGTGATCTGTGGTTCTTTACTCATATGACTTCAAGATGTCGGCGAGGTGTATGTGCTGCGGGAGACGACAATCGCTACACACTACCGTGAATTCRCGAAAGCGTCTGATCACTTTGCTTTCTAGGTACATCARACAGACTATTAGGCCAATGTTCTACTTAACACGATTCGTAGAAGACCCCAYGATTAGATCGGAGATCTACRAGACAATTCGAGCAGTTCTCGACAAGATCCGTAGGATCCTGCTTTTAGTGCGCTCCAGGAGACACATTAACTACGAGGAGGTAAGCGAAATCTAGAGGGCGTGAGTCC